GGCGGGGCTTCACAACACATGCATATCTTTTAGGCAGGACTTCCTAGCACATACATAATTCAGGAGAGTGGGGCTTCATGGCACATGCATATCTGGGGGGGGAGGGGAGGAGGCGTGTCCAGGGCTTCATAGCTCTCACGTGGCCTATCACTCATGTCTGGCACCAAAAGAGGCTTTCTCTGGACCCCGAAACACAAATGGACCGTGTTTGTTTGCCTCTCTGACCCGCAGCTGATGGACTGGCAGCTTCCAGTCCGTTAAAGGCTCCTGTTAACGTTCCCAGGGTGACGTTCTGGGAACCCAGCCACGTCCACCCGTCCTCTGACGGATGTGGTTAATTAAACAGGAAGACAGCTGCACTGTCAGGGCCTCTAAAACAAGGGAAATTCAATCTTATTCTAGACCATAAATAAAATGGATTGAGGATCTGTGTGTGTGTGTGTGTGTATGTGTGTGTGTGTGTGTGGGGGGGGGGGAATTAGCCCCCATGTCCCCCACCCATCAGCCCAGTTTACTGTTTAAAACATGAACAAATCAGCTTGTTTTGATGGATTCCTCAAGATAATTTGACTATATTCGATCCAAATCTTCAATGTTGCAATTCTGGGGGAGGCTACTATTAATCTCAATTAAAGGCCATCGGATCTGCAACACACCCATCGCCCAGGAGACCTGGGACTATGACCTGGAGTGGGCCACTGGTTCCGGTACCACTGAGCCCCTACATTGCAGCCCAGCCAGATGGCGAGGTGTTCCGCTCAGGCCGTCTCTCTCACGCTCCATTTACTTGCACGCCTCCTGTTTCACGCTAATGGCCGTAGCTCATCATCATAAGAGAGCACGCAAATTAACGCTAATTACCGTTCATAAAAGATAAAGGCAGACAACAAATCATCCCAGAGTTTGGCTGTGATAGTTGGCAGGGGGTGCCCAGCGACTCAAAATCAAAAGTCCGGAGACCCTGCTTGTCATCATTTTAAAGAAAGCGGGAAGACTGCGGATGAGGGATATCCACCCACAGTGGAACACCCTTTATATCATGAAAGTGGGCCATCCTCTCGTCGGTAGAGAACACACCTGCCTTGGTTTTGCTAAATTAATGAAAAGAGTTCTAGATCACACATGACTGCACACGCATGCTCATGCATGCACACGCCTCACCTTGCCAGCAGGCCCCCACCGTCAGCTGTACGTCGATCTGCGATGGGTGGATCGGCCAGTCATCAGTCACCAGGTAGGGCTCGTACGTCACGCCGTCCACGTAGAGCATCACCGCGGGGAACTCCACATTGATCACATAGTAGTGCCACTCTTTGTCACAGATCTGCGGCGAAAAGACATGCGGTGGGTTGAAAGTGGATCTGTCTCTTGGCTGGAGTCACAAATGAGTGTCTTTGATCTCCTGCAAGGATGCTCTCTGCAGAGAGGAAGGGATAGAGACGGCTGATGGCTGCTCCTGCTCCCATTCCGGTTCTCACTCATGTTCCTATTCCAGCTCCCGCTCCATCTCCTGCTCCCATTCCGGTTCTCACTCCTGTTCCTATTACAGCTAGCGCTCCGTCTCCTGCTTCCGCTCCCGCTCTCACTCCTGCTCTCACTCCTGTTCCTATTCCAGCTCCCGCTCCATCTCCTGCTCCCATTCCGGTTCTCACTCCTGTTCCTATTACAGCTAGCGCTCCGTCTCCTGCTTCCGCTCCCGCTCTCACTCCTGCTCTCACTCCTGTTCCTATTCCAGCTCCCGCTCCATCTCCTGCTCCCATTCCGGTTCTCACTCCTGTTCCTATTACAGCTAGCGCTCCGTCTCCTGCTTCCGCTCCCGCTCTCACTCCTGTTCCAGCTCCTGGTCCTGTAGCAGACAGGTGAGTGCCCCGCCCAGTGTACAAAGTGGCCATATGGGAGCGTACACCATCATGCACACAGAGATGTGGAGGGACACATACTCTGTTGTAGCCACTCTTGTTTAGTCGCACATTCACATTGTTGCCAGGGATTTAGAAAAAGCAGCCTGGGGATGGCGAATAATGAAACCCACAGACAGGAAACTCCCCTTCCCCTCCCAGGACTTCTCTCCTGTCCCTTGGGGGGTGAAGTGACAGCTCTGCCTGCTAATACAGGATGATTCATCCACCTTTCATCTGTCCGCAGCAGGGGCTGGGGGGGGGGGGCTCATCTGCCCTGTCCCTGCGAGCCTCTTAGTGACACCCCGCCTTACCTTACATCTATCACCCAAACAGAGGAGTTAACCTGTGCCAAACCTTAAGGCGTCCACACGCACGTCGCGGAGCCTGATTTGACAGGTCACATGATGTGTGTTGATGTACTGCGCAGTTGACCACAGTCGGCTCTTTCAGACCAGCGCTAATCTGCAGTGACATCCCCCATCAGCTGCTGCCCTGTCACCTATAAGGCCCAAGTACAGCCCCCCACCCCAAAAAATAAACTCCCACTGGTCTCCCCTGAAGCAGTTATATGGTGCCGCACAGCAGGCTGGGTTAGAGTTCGGGGCTCTAAGGCTAATGCAAGGTGACACGCAGGCGCTGCTCACATTGACTAACCGGCTTCTGGCGCCACCTGCTGCTCACATGAGTCTCTGCCCTCTGGCCACCACACAGTGGCTCCTATAACAAGCACCTCACCCAGAGGCCATATTTTGGTGACCGTCACCGCGGTGACAATGGCGGTAATCCCGTGTGGGGATCCAGGTTCTCTCCGCAGACTGCCTTGGGACCTTAGCATGGTTTGCAGAGGGAATGAAGGCAATTTACACAGCAGAAACCGTCACATTGATCCTTTGACTTTGGAAGCTTGCAGCTAAGTGACATTCTGTCACAAGTCATATCAAAATGAGATCTCCAGGAGGGTGGGGCACCTGTGTGTTAGCATATGTGCCCACGAAGCCCCCTGCCCAAGGCATTGGGGAAGGAGACTAGTGCATTCCTGGGTCCAAATCAAGAAGAGGCACTGTGGGGGTGGGGGAGGGGTGGTTGTCTCCCATACCTAGAACACTTGCCACCCACCAAAATCCACACAGTCGCTTCAGTCTCCTATAATCCCAGTGTGATGTGTACGTCTCTCCCCATTCTGAGGCAACCTCAGAGAATCCTGAGCAAGTTCCAGCTACTGATTCATTCTCGGTTTGTCAAGAACCAGGCAGACATGAGGTTCTGCGTGTTCTTCGGCTTTGCGATTGGCTTTGCTTGGCCAAGAACCTGGTCTCTGCGGCTCTCTCTCTCTAACCTCAGTTGAGTCCCATTGTGGACATCAAACAAAATGTGCACACAATTCAATTACGCGACATAAGGGGCTCAGCTAATTACACCGGACTGCCTGATAATTTTACATGAAAGCATAAATGACAAAAAAGCCATTTCAGTGAAAGTCCTTTGTAATGCAGCTAATTCTGTTAGCGGCTGATCTTGTCTCGGGACTGAAAAGAATTATTCCAAATTCCTTAGTGGATGGGAGAGGAGAGAAGGACAAAACAAAACTGGGAATGCTGCCTCTTGCTCTGGTGATTCTCCTGCTTGTCACGGTTTTGGAAATGGGCACAGAGCTGATTGGTCAGGGTGTAACACCACAAGGTCAACACCAAGCTGTGACTGGCTACTGAAATGTATGAGGCTAGTAGAGGAGGGAGGTGGCTGGACGGGTCACAGCTGCCCTCAGCACCAAACACAGGCCAAGACAGCGAGGAAGACAGGATGCTCTCCCTCGCAATATCAAATCGGAATGCTCAGTGTATATATATATATATACAAAGGGGGCACTGCACAGTGACATCACAGGCGTGTAATCTCCTCCTGGGCTCCTCCGCACAGCAAAACTGGCCACCACGTTCTCTGCTTGGACTGGCACCCGCAACCATGGAGACACCCGCACATTCACCCGCTTTATCCATACCGCCGAGACCAGGGTGGCCTAGGAATAGCAAAAAAGACGCGGCTATTAATAAGACATGTCATGAAATAGGGTGGTAGAGTGGGAGGATGAGAGAGAGAGAGAGAGAGAGAGAGAGAAGGAGGGAGAGAGTGTGATAGTGTAGTGGACTGATTTATTCTGATTGATGAGCCCCAGGAACAAGGTGACTTCAAGGTAAGGACGGAGAAGAGGGGATGAATGGATCAGGCAGTATCTGAGTGCTCTGTGGGATGGAAGATGGTTCATTGGCTTGTTGAAAATAAAAGGTGAGGGTTCTGTGAGGGGGGGGCAGGCACACAGCATTAAAAATACCAACATAAACTGTCCTTTGTGTGCTCAAGGCGAACACATATATCCCTCCTTATTAGAGTGTGACGTTATGGTCGATTATTATTCTTACAGGTGGTCTAGTAGTGCAGGAATTGGGCTTCTAAGTCGAGGCAGCAGATTCAAGTCCACAGGGGCCCTCGAGTGGAATTTTCTGGAAAAGTATCCAGCCATGTCTATCTGTCAGGTGAGAAACCCCGAGAAAATGCACACGTTTAGTGCACCGTTTGCCCTGAAATGTGAGGACGCTTCAGTCACGGTCTGTGTTGTGTGTGTGGTAGCCATGAGCTTCTGGGGGTTTAAAGACTCATGAGCCTCTGGGATAAGGTGAAGGGTTCGGGATCAGAGTGTGTAGGGTTAGGGTTAGCGTTAGGGGGTGTGTAACTCAGGGTTAGGGGCTTGCTTTAGCTGCATATGCAGGTAGCTCTGGTGGTTCAGTGGAAAGTTCTGGAAGGTTATTGTAAATTACAGACTGGCACAATGATTAATTACATGATCGATTTCACAAAAGTTCACAGCACCCCACTGACGCCCCCTTATGGTGAGTTCCCAGGGAAATAAACATAACGAAGTAAGAAATGGCCTAAATACTCCAGCAGAGGCTGGCAGCAGTGAGGCTGATTAGTTACAGAAGGAGTGATCAGCATAATCATGCTACTACTCATCAAGTGTCGCTACTGTTTGAGACCGATGATTCACTTGATCGTCACCCCCGTAACCAGCAAAGCCAGGCACCTAATGAGCCAGAGTGTTGTCCTATAAGATACTCCTCACCTGGTACCAGTGGGGGGAGAGGAGTAACAGAGGAAGCAATGTGGATGCCCCCCTTAGCAGGGCTTGGATAAATATTTTCAATTATCGAGAGCAGGCCATTTGAAACCCCAGGGTATTAATCTCATTTAGGGCTCGTGCGCGTCCTTCAAGGGGGTGGGAGCAGATGCTGTGTGGATTGGAGCACTATCTCATGTTGGGTGTGTAAGAAAAACAAGCCCACCGGCCCTCCATGCCTGCTCTTTGAGGAATCGATATTCAGCCCCCCCCCCCAGAGTGAGTCACAGAGAGTCAGTTCTGTGCACCAGGCCCTCCTCTATAACCCACAGTAACTGCACTACATTATTGATAGAGAACCATTATTCACCTACAGCAGACTGAACTGAAGCCTCTCACAGCTGATAACTGAATCCCAAGCCCCCCCGGGACCAGCTGGCCAGTGTCTCCCAGTGGAGGGAGGATACACTACAGTCAAATCCTCATTTCGCTGTAAGAGGGGCGCACCCTGCAGGTGGAGACCAGCTCCAACAACACACCAGCTCCCCTTATTTTCCATAATGCCTCCAGCCTCTCACTGTTTTTCCCAATGGTGCTGATACAGATTAATCTCTGGGGTTTGATGGAAATTACTTCATTGTAATTAGTCCCTAGGATGGGAAACTTCCAGGGCTCTGAACAGCGTGCCTAGTACCCACTTCACGGTCATCTGACCCGAGGCCCAGGACTTCAGGGATGAGCCTCAATATGCGTACCTGACTGTCCTTGTGTTCTCCTGTATTGGCTTTACCTCATCTTCCATTGCCAAAGACCAGGTAAAATACTCAAGAACAGAAGTACAGAGGACGGTAAAAATCCCCAGATTTCATTCTTGCTCCGCCCCAAATATCAAGGATGCATAAGTTGCATCCTCACCAAACAAAACCAATCACATGATTCACCACGTACGTTCTTGGGAGGCAAGTTAGCAAGACCGGTCTTGCAAAGATCACAAGTACGGTCTTTGCGTTCTTGGTATTGAGATCCACCCCAGATGTTTAGCAGGCTCCTTATGGTTAGGATGGGGAGTTTAGATGGTGGACCTGGTCCAGGTGGCATGATAATCCAGAGGGAGTACCATGACAGGTCAGGAGTCGCGTCTCATTTCCATACCATGATGCTACCAGACACGAATCCAGAGGGCAGCTGCTTTTCAGGATTATCTCGCAGTTGCACTGTAGTCAGATCTTTACTGGGAAGCGCACCACTGTCTCCCGCCTCCAATCATTTCCATAGAACTGCCCAGAACTCTTTAACGAAGACTTTTGCACA